TCCCGCGGCACTCCGGCCTCCTGCCGCCCGGCGCTGTGGTGTCGCCCACCCGCAGGCTGCGGGCCTGGGGGACACACCTTCCCGGAGGGGCTGTAAAGTGGGAAGTGTGCAAGAAGACAAAAGAGCCGTGTATAGCAGGAGGTGACCTGAGCTGAAAGACTTCCAAAGCCAGGATGGTTTTGTTTCTCCTGAACACCTACGCACCATTTCGAGCACAGACAGGTAGGCAGGCAGCTACTCCAACCAAAAAAACAGGTTGTGGTGATACTGTTGAGTTTTGCTTCTTCCCTTTCAGTCAGACACCTGGCACTGATGTTTAAAAGAGAAACAGAGCAGCCTATTGGAAGAACTGTCTGGAACTAGCTAAGATGAAGGAACTCAGGGCATCCCGATATTTGGTGGAGTTAAAAGCAAGAAGTTATGATAAAAGAATGCTTTCAGAGAGAGATCAGCCCTGTCTTCTGTGGAAAAAAACAAAAGCATATTTACTTTTAAACTGTTTGCTTGCTTACTAAATACTTTGGAGTATTGGAGAAGGTAGCTTTCCTGCCAAAGAACTTACATATTAAAACCCCACATTCAGACCTGAGTCCTTCTCAAACCACTACACCAAGTATTTCAGCAATATCTCCTGCAGATCCTGTACAGGATTTAAGGATGACTGCTGAAACACTTTCTCAGCTCACTGTGAAGTGTTCTTATCATGATGTTCTCTACACCTCCTCCATAGATGTCCCGAGCAGGGTCAGAGGTGTTTGGGAAGATGAAAGTCCTGCTGGTCGCCCGGCCATAGACACTTACCCCCGACATTGTTTTTGTAGGTGTTGTACATCTCCTTCACCCGGCGGTAGCGGAATGCTAATTTCCTCATCCAGTCAACTCCCCCGTGAACACCCGAGCCCAGACACAGGTTTGCACTGGCAGTTGAACTGTGAAAGCCATCCGCAGAGAAGTTATATGTGCTGGGAGAGGAGGAGGGGAGAGAACAGGTCAGTATCATTACAGTCTATACGGTGCCAGCAGGGAGTCGAAACAATTGAAAAGCAAAACAGACAAGTGGCAGCAGAGATATCCACAGGACACTCTGTACAGAACTGGAGTTCATCTCTAGCACAGTTACTAGCACAGATTTTAAAAATATTCTTACTGTAAACATAACGGAGGTTACTTTGCATGACCTGCCAGTTCTGAGGTTCTCTGGACTACAGAACATCTGACTGTCCTGAGGTCCCTGAAATTCCTCACCTGCTTCTCATCCAGGCTGCTAAGGTAACTGCAAAACCAGTCAAATTCTAAAGGAGAGAGTGGTGGTGTTACCTTTCTGACTGCTTGGCTATATTGTTGAACAGCTCTGAAAAAAAATTAGCTCAAGAGAAAAACTTAAGAAATTAACTAAAGGAGCCTTGACTGCCTGCAACATGTAAACTTTGTGTGTTTTTAACTAAGTTAGTATTTCCAAGCAGCTTTATACTAAATACCACAACGAACTGGGGGCAAGTCACAATTCTACAAACACTTTACACAGGCAATTTCTCTGAAGGAAGCAATCTTGCCTTCTACCAGGCACCCCTCCTTGATATCCCTTTCTTTGTACCAGCACATTTTTTTTAGCCCTGAGGTGAATCAGATCAGGGAACTGCTCCAGTTAAAACATAATATTTTCAGCTGGATCAGTTCTCTGGTTTGGGAGTAGGGGCATGAAAAAAGGCAGTACCAGCTCATGTCATCCTAAAATGTTTGCCAGATGACTGCATGAGGATGGGCTTCATGGTTTGAGCAGACCTCAAGCTGAACTGCAGTGAAAGAGGGCAGCTGCAGCTCATGGGGCACGGTCGGCTGGGTCAGGCCACAGGGCCAGCAGATTCGGGCAAACTGGACTTGAACCAGAGCAAGGGAAGGGGCAGAAAGGCTCAACGACACAGACCCATGCTTCTCACCTGCAGCCTGAAGGTAGCTCAGCTTACAGTGCTTGTGACACCTCACTGGGGGAGTAGCCACTGCTTGTGTATTCACATCCAGATTTACCACAGTGACTTCCCCTTCTAGAAAGCCCTGATGCCACTTTATTTCTTCATCAAAATATCTATACAGGGGTTTAACACGCTTAACATAGTTCAGTCAGCTCAGCTTTATTTCCCACACAGGCAAGCCATGAGCAGCTGAGTATTTCTGAAACAACTAAAATGCCTCAGGCAGGGGCTTTTCACAGGGTTCAAGATACACTGTTAGCATACAGATTTTATTTCATTCAAAGTGCATGCACTGACTGAGATAAACCCCAAATTACTATTTTAATTAATGCCTGAACAATTATCCAGACTCACCTGCTCACAGACCACTGGAGCCAAAGGACCTAAATATATATGTGCCATTTCAGTGCATTGCAAAACACTAACTAGCATTTCAGGTACAGCAAAAAATCTTTCTGGTTTTCTCTGCAGAAGGAAGGATCTATTCCCTAAAACATTTCACTGTTTTTTGTGCTGTTTCTGCAACAATTTCTCATAATAACCAGCCACAGAAACACAAATTATAAAGCTGTCTATAAGCTCTGCACATTTCATTCTTGAGCCAATTACCATGACTACAGGAGCAGTTTTGAATGTACATGACTATCTAACTTACAGAGATAGCAATAACATTTGGTGCAGTTTTGGTGCAGGTTTCTACCAGCAACAAGGCTCTGGCACGGCAAGGTCCCAGATCCTCACTCTTAAGCCCATCCATTATGTATTGGGCAGTGGGAAGCCTCTCAGTCTGGTTTTGAAGTGTTCTGGCCACACCTGTGCCAACTGGCTGGCCAGACTGTATCAGAAATGAGCATAGTCTGACGGAGTTCAACTCAGCTTTAGATGTGCCAAAGCTCAGTGTAGTCAGAGCTTGACAGTAGGCACAGGCATATGAATGTGAGAAAGGGGACCCTGCTTCTGTGTGCTTAATAAAGGCAGACAGCGTGGAGCCAGGGAGGGGAGAGGGTGCACGGCTGAGAATGATATTTTGCATCACTGACCAGCCCCCTGCCATCTTCAAACAGCTGGGGACTACCTGACCTGCAGCTTCCAGCCTGGAGCTCCCGTACCTTAGATCCTGACCATTGTCATCGGATGACACATCGTCTATGTGGATCTGGTCACAGTCCTGAGGAGAGCAGGGAAATAAAATCCAGCGGTAAGTAAATGCTTTGAAAAAAATGTTGAAAAAAATGTAATGAAAAAATTATTTAAGTGTAATATTAAGGAAATAAAATCTTACCTATTGCTAGTACTGTCTGGCATAGTCTAGCCAGTTAATTGTTAGGAACAAGTACCACACAGCACTTGCACAGAATATGAATAGACAGTGTGTGTGTGGGTGTGAGCAGGAGATCTGCTGTTATCTAGGGGCACAACAGCTCTTGAATAATACAGTAAGTGAAACTTCTTCCTGTGCAGACAGGAGGGCAAGAGATGCTTGTGTTTTAGGAAGGAAAACTGTTTTTTTTAACTTTCTATGCATGATAAGGCAGAGATTTGGCAGCCTTTCTCCCTGTGAGAATACTGCTTGGGACAGGAGGTGTGTGTCCACATAATTACAAGGGAAGAAGATCTGTCCCAAGGAAACTTCCAGAGACTACAGTCCTGCTGGTGTTTTCTCAGTTTGTTCTGAGGGGGCTGAGCTTCCTTTGATGTGCAGGGAAGCGGGGCTGCAGCACTGAAGGTGGCACCCTTTCATAGCCCCAGCCACAGACAGAGTTCAGGAATAGCGTCTGTCAGTAATGAGGAAATCTGTGCACAGGAAATTTAACCAGAGTATAGACTTGGAACTCAGCCTGCATGAAGGAAGTATATACTCTAGATCTTATCTTCCAAAATTCTTCATTGTTTGATGGTGGAGGCTCTGCCTCAAAAATGTAGGAAATGTTATTTCTTTGGTTTCTTTCACAGTCTTAGCATTAAGTTTAGAAAGAGAAAAATCAGGAAGCTTCTCCTGCCACCTTAAATCTCCTTTCTCCATGACCCTTGCAGGTAAGAATAAAACAGAAAGCCTTCCAGCTGAGGAACACTATCTTTTGTCCTGGCTGATTTTTCAACAGAGATAAAAGCACTTCCTACAACAGGACTCTGAAGTCAGAACCTAACCAAGGTACAGTTTTTCGTCACGACTTCAATATTCTATAAACCACAGAATTTGTCTTACCTTCCTTACACAACTACAAGTTTTATGAATTACTTCAAACTAGCCCCTTTCAAAAAAAGAAAAAAGTCCCCAAATGAGTAACTAAACTTGCCATCAATAGCAAAATGCCACAGATTGTTCTTGTCCATAACCATGAAATTTTCTGCAGCATTCATTTTACATAATTCTCAAAAAGACACACAATTTTATCTTGTTTTCATCAATCCTCTTATCAACCTATCACCAGGGCATACATTTCTGTATATAACTGGAGTCCAGCGGCTGGATAGCAGATCTGCTGGCACCTCCCTCCTCCACCCCCACAAGTTTACATCACCCCCTCCCCAGAGCTGTTGTCAGCCATGCTGGGATAATATTGGTGCAGCCCACCCGCTCCAGTTGTACGATGCAGGGCATTAAGTCAGGGGAAAGGTATTTGTGGAGGGATCTGTTTTCCTCATTTGTGGACGAATTGTTCTGTACACTGAAGTGTGACAACAGCAGCTATCACGTTTCTAACTGACTAGAACACCATGGCACTGGGTGAGACACTACCTCATAGTCCACCGGCCCAGCCCCTCCTCTTACGGGGCGAGACTCAGGAAAGCTGCTCAGCAAGAACGTGGGCCACGTTCTACTGCCTGGTTCTTCATTCTTGCAGAACTTCCTTGAAATCTAAGTGAGTAGGGCATCAAGGCAAGATATCTGGGCTGCTGAAAACAAGGTCCAGATTGTCTGAATGGAAGTCTGCAATGGGGACATATCCCAGTTATCACATCTGCTCACTTTTTTAAATGATACTCTAGTCTCTGGGAGGTATATGATGTGTGGCAGGTATAGTCTGTAACCCAGTCATATGTGGAAGACCTCAGTCAGCCCTCACAGCTGTGAGAACTGAACTGGTTTTACTGTTGTGATATATCTCTAGGTCAACCTGTGATGCACAACTGGTCCAGGTGGGACCAGACCCTTGTACCCACACCTAAAAAAGCCTGAGCTAATGCAGCTTTGAAATGGTACCTGCAGGCTTGGAGAAAACCTCTGCTGCCTCCTTGTGAAATAGAAGCTGTTCCTGAGGACTCATGGAGATTCTCTTTCTGTCACTTATGCTCCCTCTGAATACTCTCCAGGTATGTCTCTGCACTTATGAAAACAACTTATGTATGCACAAGTTGTCTATTTGTGTATCAGGACTGTGTTAAGAGATTTTTATCTCGTGGATTCATTGATCAGTTGAGCTTGCATCCCTAATTAAATGGAGGTTTAACAGTTCCCAGAACACAAAACCTCCAGGGATGGCTCTGAAAGGCAGTGCTTTGTAAACACACTAATCCCCTTGTTTGTTAATTCCTCTTCCCCTTGTCAGTACTTCTGTCCTTAATACCTGATTTCCAGAGTGCTTGACAATAATATCTCCAGGGGCACTGGGGGCGGAAGGTCTGTAGGCTGCCTTGCATTGTGAACAAAAGGCATCTGGGAGAAAAAGCACAATCCTGGAAAGCTCTGAGTTTGTATTTTAACTTCACTATGATCTGTAACCTTGGGCAACTCTTTTTCTCCACTGTTTCTGTGAAGGGGAACAGAGACTGAGAATATATCCTTCAGTGAGTATTTGCTGATATATTCTACAGTGTGATCAGAGGCCTTTGTACACAACCCCTGGTATGGCCTATACTTGCAGACCAGAGGGATTTAATCTGCCTGTACTGTTGCAAGCAGAGAGGATGTGGTTGACAGGCATGTGCTCTACGAGTGGATGCATTAGTGTGGCAAAACCACACTTGTAAGATTTCAGTGTGGACCTTGCCTGGGCTACGTTGCTAACAACCTGAAGGACAGGTCAGTGCTTGTGTCATTGCACTCCCTGGAAGTGCAACACACTCGTGCCCTTGTCAAGGTTTGCTACTTTGATTCTTTGCTATGGGGCAGGCCCACCACTAAGTTGTGCTTCAAGAAGTACCAACCCTGCCCTGCCCTGAATCAGCTGGAAAAAAAGGCCAGCTTCTAAGTTGTACAACTTAAAAAGTGAACTTTAAACTAAACTTTTAACTAAACCCTTTCTGTGAGAAGACCAAAAGTATTTGGTAGGAGTCTAGGTCTAAGGCTTCTGCAGTCATCCAGCTGCCCTGGGGACCAGTGATCAGCTTCCTTCCAGACAACTGGCCCGAGGTTTGGGATGAATTGAAGGGGAAATTGGCCTCTCTACTAGGGCTGCTGCACTGAGAGAGGGTTGGTTAAAGCAGGTTGTCTGAATGGGTCTACTGGTTCACCTTCTCATTCACCCAAGATTTTCACTCCCAAGCATGGGAGGAAAAAAAAGCATCCAGACAATGCACCCAGGAAACACTTACCTGAATCCCTCCTAGGTAAACCCTGAAAACAGATAAAGCCCTGGCTAACAACAGAGTATCACACTAATTGTTTGATGGAAAAAAGGGAGTATTCCAGTTCAGGCTCCTCACTTAGACTGAAGCCAGTGTTTTGCTACGATGTGAAATCACATCCTCACCAGACAAAGAATGACCACACAAATGCCAGGGCTGTGCAAACCTCGCTGTGTCTATGGACAAATCAGGCACTTTCTGGGAATGCTTCAGAAGGGCTTCACAGCCTCACAGCACCGTCTGCTCTGCACAGCACTGCAAACTGCAGCCAGCAAAACAAACGATTCCCCTGTGCTAAAGCAAGGTAATAACTGATTTCCTTGTCCAGTGTGCCTCTCTGTCGAGGACGGGTGACATTTCCTCCACTTCTCCCCCTGCTTCTGCTGTCAGGACTGAGGCCAGCCACGATCTGGGTGGTTCAGTCTCCTGAGTCCCCCAAAATGCCTGAACATGGCTATGGATTTGTGCCAGATGAAAGCTTTGCTATGTTTAGCATTATCTAGTGAGAGTCCTCGAGCTCTGGTCTCAAATGGGACAACTATTCTACTGCTTTCTCAGTTACAGCTTCTTTTACCCTGCCCAACACAGGATGGTCAGAAGTGTTTTCAGCCCCATGTGGTTTTGGCTTATTTTGTCTTGCACAGGCCAGTGTTGTACCACATGATGGTGCTAATGTATGTAGTAATATTTGTGGTTCTAGAACTGAATCAGTTTCTGTACTTGTTTTTTACAAATCTCTGTTTTATTTTTTAAGAATATAATTCACTGTAGTTTTTTTAAGCTTGGAACTTGATATGTGATCCTTAAATATCACTTTGTGAATACTCAGATGTAACTCTTAACATTCCAAATGAAGGATTAGGGTGGTTAACAGAGATGGATGACTGTTGCAAATTCTTCCAAACTGCAGTGGGATTTTTTTGGAAAGTGAAATTTTGTGAACACTTACTTCTCTGAAGAAAAACTTGAGAGGCCAAGCGAGACAAAACCAACCCAAGGACTCTGCTTCTAGCAGTCAGAGCTGTTACTGACTGGCAGAATTTGACTGAGGGCAGACAATTTGCTACTTCATTTCATGTTTTAGAACAGTAAGCAAAGCAAGGAGAAAACTTGTTTTAAAATGATTTGCCAACTTATATTCTTGCAAAAGTCTGGATAGGCAAAGAATTTCTGGAGGGGGGCTTTGTGCAGGACATGGACCTTTGTCACATCACATGTTGAGATCTAATGGCTGGAAAGTGCTGGTTGCATGTTAAATATTATCACTACCTATATAGTGCCCTGGGCTCCCTTTTTTTCTTTCTAAGAGAAGGATTTTTTCACTTTGCACTTTCTGTACCCTCATCACCAACGCCCTCTTTGAAAAAAGCTGAAAGACGAAAAATCTGTCAGTTGAGGTGCTACTCACTACTTACCCCTGAAAGGAAATGAGAATTCTCAGCAAGTGAAACCTCAGATTGTAAGGAGACAGGTGGCAGGAAAGGTTGTACCTCCTGTCATGCAGAGGACCACATGCAGTTAAGCAGTGAAGGAACCAGAAGTTCTCAATGAACTCATCAGGCACAGAAAAAAGTTCCCTCATTTCTTTTGGCACAGAAACAAATTCTTTTTTTTTTTTCCCAGAAGAAAAAAGGCCACAGAAGCCTGCCCAGGGACACCAGTTTTTTTCCCTTCAAACACCTCCAAGCAGTATTCTGACTCCAAGGTGCCCACAGCACAAACCCCACCTTTACTCACTTTGTATGGGACTCCTTCACAAGATTTCTATGATTGCAAATGCAAACAGATTTTCATCAGCACTGTACAACTGTTTCTCAGCTGGTGACAGAATTCTGCTGCCACCACTTTGCTTGAATTTCAGCGTATATTCAAAAGGATTTTCACTTTGTGTAAGGTACAGTCAGATTTAACCATGCCACAAATGGGAAGGATTCTTCCTTTTGATCTATAGTGTTGAAACTCTCACAGTTTCATCCTGCAGTGTGCCTGAGCTTGAGCAGACCTCCTGCTCTGTGTGTGTAAACAGAGCTCTCTCAAGAAAACAGACCGTTTCAAAAACCTCTGCATTGACTCATAACTAATTGCTACCTGCCCCATAGGATCTATGCTAATTTAGCTTAATAAAATTATTAAATAGCAAATTTCAGGAGAAGCAGCAGCAATGTCCCCATTATTAGATTTAGTAAAACTGCCAAAAGCCACCATTGTTACTGTGTATTTAGAAAAAAAAATTCCTTAACAGAATGAAGATGTCGAAGGGACACAATCAAGTATGCTTCCAATAAGTCATCTAAGGCCCATTTCTTTGGGGTCATAAATGAAAGTTTCTTGGCCAGAAGAACAAGTTTGTAGACCAGATGCAAATAATTAGAGAAAGAGCTGTTAAATAAAATAAGCAGCTACATACCTCCAGGTCATTAAAGAACAGATGTGTATCTGCAAGGTTGAAGATCATTTCTTCCATCATAAGACCTATCCGCACAGACGTTGTAGTGTCCTGTGAGAGGAAAATCAGTTTGTTTCTATTCACTTTGGGAGATCTTAAAGCAAACACAGGATCTACACATATCTGTTTCTGAAGATATGTTCATTAAAGTAGTTTTATTTCCCACGTGTATCTTAACATGACTTTCCCATACTTTCTTCTGCTCTCCTAGATAATCAAGTTCTGTCTGAAGGATGTCTATGGCTGCCTTGACCAGTAACACCCCCCACACTTCAGATTATCATAACAAGAACCTTTAAACACCTGACACTCAGTAAGAATTGCTTTGGTAAGTTGGACCAAGAACTGACTGTCAGTAGTGGCATTAGTAAATGATTAGGGGACAGTTAAGAGCAACAGAGCACACAAGGGGTGATCCTTTCCTGACTTGGTCCTCCAAACCAGCCATAGAAGGTCAGCATTGTTTTCTTTAATGTCAAACAGCAATTTGGTGAGCAAAGACTGAAAACAGACCCCAGGGGCTCAAACACAAACTGAGTCTCTTTCTCTAAAGGGTGCAATGGCTGTGTCTCAGCAGGCCTGGCTTTACTGCCACAGGAACTCAGATGAGAGGACAGAAGAGGTGGGAAGGCAGGTGTGCTGCTCCCACACCAGAGCCCAGTGCATGACACAGCATCTGCTGTCCTCCACAGCACACGTGCACCTGGGCAGGAGATGCAAGGGCAGCCACACTACTGCAAAGCTCTTCCATCCCCACTGAAGCTGCCTACTTACTTAGAAGCATCAGCATAGTTAAAACAATCCCATCCTACTCCATTATAGCATGATAAAATGCTTGTCCAAGTATGACCACTCCTGCTCAGGACAGAGTGTGCTCTGTACTGGTGTAAAGCATGCTTGCAGAGCCAGAGCTGGAGCCATAATGGCAGCTACACCCAACTAACTACATCGATTTAAAAAAAATTAAAGACAGAACGAGACAAGACACAGCACACTAAAATGCTGGATGGGTTCATCTGTCATTCTAGCTAGTGTGAGAAATGGCAACATGCACCCACAGCTCCTGTCTGCATGGGCTGACTGATGGTTTGTTCATTCTGCCATGCTATTGTATCAGCAGCCCCTGGCCCAGCAGCTGTGGGTCTAACCTGGCCCTTCCCTGAGAGGGTCCTAAACTGCTTCCTAGAAGGGAAGGACTTGATAAGAAGCTCTGGGTACCTGCAGCATTTTTAAAAACCACTTTTTTAACAGTTAAGAGAATGTGAAAGTGCCCACGCCGGCAGCTCTAAAACAGCCTACACGTTTTTGAGCAGGTATGAACCTTCTCACATCCAGATCTTGCTGCTATCACCACCAGTGGCAAAACCTTAGGTAAGTTCCTCTGAAGGACTGCATTACCTGTAGCTCTGTGTTAGTGCATTTAATTGATTCATTTTAGAATATGAATGTTTCTCCATGTCCCTTGCTACCCAGTGAGACACCAGAACTGCTTGTGAGAAGGCTGGTGCTTCATTTCCTCACCAAGTCAGTGAGCACAAGCTTAAACCAGCCCAAGCTGATGGGACTGACTCTGCTTGGCCAGAGAAGCCACCTGCAGAAAATCCTGCATGGCAAAAGCAACTGACACTTTTAGCTGAGCCATTTCCCTTTCGTCTGGCTTGCAGGGGTACATTAACAGCTGACTGCATGTGCACAGCAGATCTACTTGGTCCTCCAAGCTGCCCCTTGGATGACAGATGATGGCCGCGGGGCTCCTACGACTCTTGGCTTACTGCTTCAAAGCTGCCTAATGGGTGCTGTGGACCTCTTACTCTGAAACACAAGCAAGTGACCTGCTGTACCCAGCCTGGTGCACTGCAGCATTCATCAAGTCTCAGTCACTCTTCCATGTCTCTTGTACATAGTCAACCACCCCTCCCACTCCCAAACAACTGATCTTGCTCCTAAACCCAGAAACACACTGATGCAAATAAGGCTGCCAGCAGAACATTTTCTTGTTCATTAAATAATTCAAAAACACAAGCAAAAATGATCTGTGGTTAATCTGCTAAACACTCATAGCTCAAAAGCTAAGACAGGGATCTCACATCTTTATGTTTATATGGGTGGTTTTCCTCCACTGAAGTTACAAGCCATGCTAAACCAGGGCAGATTTATATGTAGTCTCTGCTCTAATTTTCTGCAGATTTCTCTGGAGTCATGTTATTGTATGACAGGACCATAATGAATTAGTTGAGGAGCTCTAACAGGGAGCACAATGTTTGGAGGATGAGTACATTTCAATCAACCTTTGTGGCAGATGCTGTTGACATGGATGGTGTATTACTAACCTAATTATTACGCATTCTTGGTGTAGTTCTCTTTAATTAGAGCAGAATGACTGTGGTTTCAGCCATGTGTGTGACTCACAAGCACTGGGCCCATCTAAAGAAAAGCTCTGTCACTCATGTTTAAACATGCCTGTTGCTGTCCCAGGAAGAAGGGCACTTTCTCCTCTGGGCAAAAAGTGAACTTCAACAGACTTGCCTTGGAGAGGCCTGTGACTGAAGCCTCAGAGCTGCTCCCCGGGCAGGCCCAGGGACACGGGTGTCGTCAGGGCGTCTGACTGCGGCCCCGTGCCAGCAGCACTGCATCAGATTTTACTACCCAGGTGTAGTTACACGGGGGAATTGTTCTGAAGAAAATATGCTGCTAGGAAGAAATTACTTTGTAAAATAGTTTTTAATGAAGCAATTTATTTTTATACATTTTAAGGATCATTAGTCTTCAAAACTCATTCAGGAAATCTCATTGGTTGGTATCTGTCATTTATCCTCTAAGTTTTGTCTTTAATACCAATAAAGCTAATCACTAATGGGGAGTAAGAAACATTTCCACAGTGTATGAAGTTACCTTCTCTTAAACAAAACAATATGGAAATTAAACTGTAGATGAGAGGAAAAAAATTTTCTCTTGAGATAGAGAATATGATGGAATGAAAATAAAGCAGAAAAATGCACTTTACCACCCAGAGGGGAGGTTGTTTGGGGAAATGATTTGGCATCACTGCTTTCACAGCATGGACATTTCCTCTCTAGCAAGGCATGCTTCCAAGTCTTGGCGAGGCTGATAAAGTTAAAAGGCGAATCAACACCCCCAGTATGATATAGGTGTCCAGAGGCACTAGGCCAGGGTTCCATTGGCAGTTATTTATTTGCATTACTGTAGCATCTAGAAGCACAAGTCCCAGACGTGGACCCCACTGTGCTAGGGAGCTGTACCCACCCAGAGGAAAGACACAGTCGCTACAGCTTTCTCTTCAAGTAGGAATAAAGAGGAACATCAGACTGACAGGACAACACCAAAAGTATATCAAGTTATCAATCATCATGTTATCCAAGTTCTTTGGACAGTGTGTGAATAACGTGAAAGAGAATTATGAAATTTGTCTGCAGATCTCAATGGAGAGCTCTTCCCAGGCACAGAAATGCTGTGCCACTGAAGGAGAGCTCTGCGCTGCAGGGGCTGCCGTGGAGGACTGCTAGTGCCTGCATTAGAGTGGTGTGAGTTTAGCAGAGCAGCGTAAAGTTGCCACGTTCATACCGACAGCCCCTGCTGATATGTCCTTCCAGAGAAAAAAAGCACAACCTGCAGCCCTGGGAACAAGATTCCTGGGTAACAGACCTAGCCCATATTTCGTGATGCGCATGAAATCCAAAGCAGAATGGACCACAGACAGTTTGAAAATAAATCTCCTCTAGGAACCACTTTTTACAGTGAAAACAGATTAATCTAAAAACTCAAGTGCTTGATTAGTTACTTTAGAAGAGCCAAGTCCTACCCCTCTGCTAATCTACGAGTCATGCTTTTACAAACAAGGACAATGAGAGGCGAGAAAACTGGCAATAAACTCCTTTTGTAAATAAAATCTCCAGCACCACGGTGTACCCCTGTATGCATCACCTCTGCCACACACCGTTGTTGGAGCTTCCTTCAGGGTCAAAATTAAACAGCCCCACTGTTATAAATTACTTTTAGTGTTAACCTCTGGTGCTTGGACATGACAGACCAGGCACTCCTGACTGTCCAAGACACAGCTTTAACAGGCTTCTTCCCACCAGCTGGGGGAAATAAGCACCAAGGGAGCAGTGGGCATTTGAAGTATCCATTCTCAAAGACATTGGTATTCCCCCTCCTCAACATACCCCTCACTCCCACTTCTAACAAATGGGAGCAGTAGTTGCACAGCTGCATATTACTGCTTAGTGCACATCTTGACAGAACTGAGAGTGGGAAGTCCCTATTCTCTACTACTCCTTCAGAAACAATAAAGGATCAAAACATACAAAGAGTAAGATAAGCACTTTTTTAACATTTTGGATCAAAATGTTTGCCCTAAAGAGCATCCCTGGACATGTCTCTGCTGTTTCTGTCACAATGGTGACTTTCAGCTATTGCCTACTGCTGACAATGGCTGCATCTTCTGAGCAAGATAATTTTCACTGTAAGTGAGGCACTGCCAACTCCCAGCTCTTTATCTGCTTGTTTGGGGGTTAACTTTGCTGCCTGTTCAGCAGATGGTCTTATTAGAGGACAATGAGGCCAAAAGAAGCCTGTGGAACATGCTGCAGAGGAAGACAAAAATGTCCATTCACCAAGGGGAACGTTTTCTTTCATATCCCCAGGGCATGACCTGACATATTTGCTCTGAGTGTTGCTCTTATGTTGGCTACTTGGATGCGCTGTTCCAAATCCTTGAACTAGTTCTGTACATTTGAAATTATTTGCATTTTAAAGTTACAATTTGAGTTCGATTATGTCCCCCAAGCTAAAAACACCTTCCCTAAAATTAATATGTTTCTGTTTTCATTTTGTCCCCTCATTTTGCATAATAGGTTGACAGAAGATGGCTAAAAGGAGCTTGCTGAAAAGCCTTCAGTCTGTCTTCACTTAAAGATGATTTCCACAAAAACTGGAGGTAAGCAAAGATATTTCCCTATTACAGCAGTAGATTAAAGAGGGAAATTAGGTCTCCTCACTCCATGTGAAACTCCAATGAGTCTGTATTTTAG